TTCAATAATAAAAAATATGAATAAATAATTCATTAATCATTGTACACGCAAAATGATTTTGAGCGAAGACAGTTTATCGCAGTCTACATAATATTTATAATATTATAGATATTTGTTATTAATTATTACTAAGTACATTTATGATATTATTGTGATTAAAGTAATTTATTTTACAATTAAAGGCATTACAGTAGATTAAATAAATTTTTAAAAAAATATTACATTTGAAAGTGTCATTGAGTGTACTGTATAGTACTGTACAGTGTATACAATATAATAATTTACATTAAAGTCTCAAGTACCTTCCTACCTACCCATCATGAATAGTTTTTTTGAAGTTATTGGTTTTAATATATACCAAATTTGAATTAAAATGTCTGTACAAAATAACTGTTTATATATTTATTTTAGATTTAAATCTATTTAAATTTTATTTACGGGTTTTTATTGATATTAATAATAGCCAATAGGTATATATCGATCGTGTATGGGCCGCTTATTTAAGACGGAGACAACAATTAATGCTTGTGTGGCGCTCTTGGTAACTGTAACCATATGTTTTTGATCAAAACGGAAATAAAGCCACGTAGAGAGAGAATTATAGTCATATTGAATGCGTTGGCTCTAAAAGTCTGAAATGCTGAATACTGATATAGGTACCGCAATCGCGGCGTTTAAAATAATATGTAGTCTGCTTGGATCCTACTATACATTGCATTAAATATATTCAACCACACATCATCGTGTCCTTTCATAGTCACCTGTAAGCTGGTGTACGCTTCAATTATTGGTATATAATAATATTATATTGTACTAGTTGAATAACCCGGCGTTGCCTGGGAAAAAATTGTGATTAATTAACTCTTTTTGGGTATAATTCGGTTTGCATAGGTATGGAAACAAAATCATATTATATTTTAAGTTTTAGCCATCCCGCTTGGCGTTGCCCGTGAATTTCGGTATTTGGATTTTATGTGTATAGATAATAATATGATCTAAGGTCGACTGTTGAATACTAATTTTAATCTTTAATAACTAATATTATTCTCCAATTATCTCTCATTATTGTGAAAATCAGAAAAAAACCATTTTTCCACCAGTAGAATATATTAGTATACTTAGTTGGTAAAAATATCGAAAACAAAAAATGTTTTACGTTATTTTTGAGCTTTTAGACTACTTTTTGAAAACGGGACAAATTAGTGTCCAGAGAATCCACCGGGGACAACGAGACAGAGAACTGAAATGTATAATGTCATTGAGTATACAATTATATATTAATAATTAATATAACATTTCCTAAATATATTACGTTATCTTAGATCTATAGTCTAATACTATAAAATGAAGAACAGCTGACTGATAATATTGGGGTCCAATGGAAAGGAAAACGCCGGCTATAGCGAACCCTTGGCGTAAAAAATGAAGCACTGCTCCGTTTCCCCAGCCCGCCGGCCATGTCCCGTCGATTCCTTATAGCGCGACCAATCGCGTACCTTCGCAGTGGCGGCGGTCGGTTTTAAAACGTTTTTCGTTATCACCTCTTTTCCTATCATTTCGCCGATTTTCGGAAAATTAGCTTTTCGCCCTTTTATATACTTAATTCGAAGCCACCGGTGTGCGGTTTATATTCGTGCAATGTCGATCAATAAATACACTCCCGACCGGACTTTTTTGCCGATTTTTTCCTTTTCTCCCACCGTTTCGTCTATTCGCACCCGTTTGTGTCCGAATCGAGTCTTTTTGAAGCCGTTTATATGCGCTTTTCCCCCAAAATCGGTTCGTTCGCCTCGCAATCGCGTTTGGAAATTACGCCGGCGACCGACCAGCCGTACGCGTATATATACATGTATATAGGTGTATAATTTAATTTTTCCTTATGATTTAATAATTATTAACGGAAAACGCTTTTCACACGCCCCGTTAAATATATATATGGGAGATGCGCGTATTACAAGCGAATTATATGCGATTACATCGATGTACATCGGAAATATCGGTTTACGTCGCTCCGTAGTCGCACGGCTTAATTGTTGATGTTTTCACTGTCTTTCATATCTCAAACTGTGTCCGAGTAGGTTAGGCGTTAGGCAGGAAACACGTAGGTCCCGGGTTCAAATCCGTCGTACGCCGTCCAGGCATTGAAACCGTCAATGCCATATGGTTTACACGGCCGCCCAAATCACGATTTTTTTTGCATTTTTTTTCACGTTATTTTTCATATAAATTAAATAATAATATAATAATACAGGAACATATCGTACATTATTATTATTTAAAGTCATTATCATTTTATATCACACAATAAATAGGTACATATTATATTTGTTTTATTAGGAATTATTAAAATTGCATATTTTTTAAAATTTCCATGATTGTTATATAAATATAGTTTGTATTTTATTTCGGTTTGCCTTGAAAGTTAATCTTGATTTTGACTTGAGAGTTGAGATGACTGACTTGCTAGACACTCCAACACGGTTTTTGACTTTACACTTTTTACATAAGAAAAGGCACCGGACATGCGAAGGCACATACCACTCTATGTGATATACCTACTATATATAGGTGATAGACGGATTGCTCATTTTAGTTTCGTCTTAAACGGTGATGATTGACTTGATAGACACTTTAACAAATAACATGCAGGTTTTTGCAATTTTTTTTTAAATTAATATATATACACTATAGGTACATGTTTATATGTATTGGTTTATATAATAGTATGTATCTAACTATCTACCTATATGTTAATATTTTTTAGGAATTATAATTGCACATTTCTCAAAATGTTCATTGTTATATTATATCACACAATAAATACATATCATATTTGTTTGTATGTATATATAGTTTGAATTTTTCGTAAATTATTTCATAAGTTGTGTGATAGGGTTTTCACTTATAGCCGCTTGATGTCGTGTCTGCAATCCACCTGCGGTGGATTGCCTACCTGATTTGCTGTAGCACATAGTCCGCGATCCGACGAAGTCGGATTGCCTACCTAAGTGGCTAACTTGAAAGTTAATATATTTTGACTTGAGATGACTGACTTGCTAGAAACTCCAACACGGTTTTCGACTTTATACTTTTTACATAAGATAAAGCACCGTTCATGCTACGGCACATACCACTCTATGTGTAGGTATACTCTATATAGGTGATCCTGGAGATCGTATCCAGCCTATCCATTTACAACGTTTGTGACGGATTGCTAGACACTCAAACTTTTAACATTCCCGCCAAAGCGTCTAGCCTTATCTCCAATCCATATCACTAATCCTTATCACAAATCCTAAACTTTCGTCTTACAAGTTACAACCTTTGCGACTTTTATAATTCATTGTCTCCAAAATCGGTACCCACTCTCAGCGATTCCAACGGACCCCGAGTTATACTTAGAGCTAGTATTATAATAATATGATGTTAAAAATTCAAATATTTTTTAATTCGGCGGCCAGTGATAAATGTTATTTGTTGTTTACTCCAAGCCAAACTGATATGATATTTTCATCCATGAAAGTGATATAAACCGTTTTTTTTTCTAGTGATATAAACCGTTTTTATTTACTGTCTGGTGCGTCACCACAGAATAGATGAAATCAGAATGGACACTCTCCAAAAACCATGATAAGAACTGAAGTGCCACCAGTGTAGCCATATAATAAAACTATTTTTATTTTTTGATTTATGTAGCAAAAGACCACTCTGAGCATCCGCTTTATTTGGATTTGTTTGTAAACAAACTGCTTTTTTAAGGCTGGTTTGTAAAAAATTTAAAAATTCACTTTTCATATTTCTTAAAAAGTGAACACGAGTCACGAGACCTACAAGTCCTCGGTTAATACTTAATTAGATATTTTGAAATTCTTGTAATTTTACGCCACAACCATTGATTATGGACTTCCTAAATAAACGCTTTAGAATAGGTAAATGCTGTATTAAAGACTGCAAAAGTTTTGAATTGGATCCGGGATTTAATGATTTATGTGACTTGCATAAATATATTTAGTTTACAATTCAGCTTACTTTTAAATGTTCACCAAATTGAAGTTGGTTAGTAAAATAATTAAATAGTTTTAGTGGCGCAATCTCCGCCACTCACTGTATATTTGATAGTAGAGAAGTACATTTTGTTTAGTATTGTATCTAATTTAAATATTATACATACCTAACCCCTCTAGTCTATAATATTATTATAATACAAGATTTAAGATAATATAGCCTATTACGTATACCCTAAATATATATTATCGTATTAAGTAAAAATATTGTTTTCCATTTGTACCTCCAACGCCATGTTGTTTGCACCACAGTTACCATAACCATGTTACCAATATTGCGTGTCAATGTCGTTGTGCGCATGATAAAGCGCATTAATTGTTATCAACGAATGTGTACGTAGTAAGTAGTAGTTGTCAGTAGGGGAACAGATTATATTATATATTATATATTATATTCACAAACGTCGGCAGCATGACCTCATGACAAGCACGTTGATTTGTTTTTTTTTTCGGTTTTTTTTTTCTTCGCATTTCTCGATATTCTGTTTCCTCCCGTAGTGCCTAAGTGGTCCCTCTCGTTGACTCGTCGGTCTTCACTCAGTCATCTGTTAGTCGCACCTATAGGCTCTAAAATACTCTTCAATTATCATTTTGTCTGAAGTTTCCGCCGCCGTCTGAGACGCGCTCGTGTCGTCAATAATAATATTATTTACCACCATCGTGTCGTCGTCATTATTATTATTATTATTATTATTATTATTATTATTATTACTATTGTATACGCCGTGTAGTAGTAGTAGCAGCATCATCAGCAGTTGGTCTTGTTGAATCGACGCCGCAGTAAAACAATAGACGGAGTATATTTGTGGAACATACCAGCCCTGTTCTGCTTGCGCTTAATCGTCTAGAGGTAACAATGTTATATTGTTACCGATTTTAACGTGACTCGAAGCAATGACTTTTCCGCGTGTTCCTGTCACTTGAAGTGCTCTGACAATGGAGAAGAACGTTGTGGTTGAGGACGACATCAGCTCGTTGATCGGACATTTCGCAAAGGAGACGTTCAAATGCACCAACAGCGATTCGTTCGTAAGCAGACAAATATTACTAATGCTACTCTTTAAGTCTAATAATATTGTTACACATAGCCTGTAGTCATTGTGGATTTTGTATTTGATAGTCATTTGACAATCTAAAGACAAAAGAAAAACGGCTCGATAGAATCTTCATAGTATTAATTTATTGGTTATTGGAAGCCTGCCAGATCACTTTAAGGGAAAATGTATATAACAGACAATTGCCCATTTTGATAATTGTCTTAATCATTTTATAATACCTATCTATTGATTTGTTTTTGTTGGCATTAGTATGTCTAAGAAATTGCTACCCTAAGTATATAATGTTTCATTTGATTTATGTTAATAAACAATTTGACCACAATGTTTCATCTTGAAACACTTTAAATAATTTTTTTCTAACCAGTATAGCTGGTCTTTGTATGACCTTTAATATGACCTGATATTAAACATTAGCCAATCCTGATACACATTTTTATCATTGCTTGTGTAGGTAGTTTTATTTTTTAATAACTTGATTGCATACCTATATTTGATAAATAATATTTAATTACCATAAATAACATTTTTTATCTGTAACTTAATGAAATAATGAATTATGATTTGTTATGCTAGATAAGAAAAAAATGTAGGTACCTACCTAACTTTATTAAGGGAATTATAAAAAATAACGTGATGACTAGATTTTCAACATATTAATACAATGTGTTCCAAGGGGAAGTGACTGGCCGACATCATATGAAAGTATACCCAAAATGATGAAGAAATACCCTTTAAAGAATGGATCTAACTTATATTTTTAAGTTATGGACAGTTAACATTTATTATCAAAACCAAACCTATCACACATTTTTTTATGTATCTTCAAAACTATTCAACATTTTGACGTATTTTTTTTTTATCTTAAAGTTGTTTAAATGTTCTATCAACCAACATAAACATACCCAATTAAACCAGAAATATGCAAATTTTTTTATTAATTTGAAAAAGTAATTATTTTTTATCAAAAATTAATATTTTTAAATGTAAATCACGTATAATTCCAAAAATTTTAGTATTTACTATAGGTTTTTGCTTATTGTATTATTCTGTAAAATGACAACACTACAACTAAAGTTTACCTAAGAAAATAAAATTACACTATTAACGACCGCTACTCGATTCTAAGAAATTCAAGATTGTAACTACAGCGTATAATTCTGTAATCATGGAAGATACGAAAACCAAACTTTTAATTTATTCTAGGTATTATTAAGTACAATAATACAATAATACAATAAGCAAAAAACCCAAACTAAATACTAAATGTTGTGGAGTTATACGCGATTTACTTTTTGAAATATTAATTTTTAATAAAAAATAATTACTTTTTCAAATTAATAAAAATAATTTGCACATTTCTGGTTTAATTGTGTGTGTTGGTTGATAGAACACTTAAATATATTAAAGATAAGTAAAAAAATACTTCAAAATATTGAATAGTTTTGAAGATACATAAAAAAATGTGTGGTAGGTTTGGTTTTGATAAAAAAAAGATAATTGCCTATAACTTAAAAAATAAAAAAGTTAGACCCACTCTTTAAATGGTATTTTGTCATCATTTTGGGCATACTTTCATGGTCACTTATAATACATTGTATAAATAAGTTTCTTATTAGTCTTTGATTTAAAATGTAAAAAATAATTAAATTTATCATCTTATTGTGTACATGCCATATGCATATAGCCAACATTTTCAAGATGGTTTCTTATCTATTTTAGGTTTAGTATTTTCAAAATTTTTCTGGGAGTGGGGGTCCTGAATAATAATATGTATTTCAAAGGTTTTTTTTATTTTATTTTAAACTGCCATGCATTCTACCTAGCCTGAAATTTAAATTTAAGTATAATAATAGCTCTGATTATTGGTTAAATTTTTTTCTATTTTCTGAAATATGTTTGGCCCTTCTGGTAGGTATCTCAGGCGCGTATCCAGAATTTTATTTCGGGAGGGGCTGAACAAAATTATCAACATAGTCACACAATAAAACAAAAAAGTGGGTAAGTGAATGTCGCTCTGCTGTACAGTAGGTTACAAGTGGGTCACTGTAATGGATGGTGTAAAATTTGAATTCAATGATATAATATCATATATTGTGTATAAGAAAAACGATTCTAAGCGAAAACGGTCAGTCAGCCTATGATATTACTAAGTATATTTGATGATATTATTGTGAATAAAGTATTAAGTAATTTATATATTTACCTATTTACGTGGACCATTGTTTTAAATTTTCAATCCTTAACTATGAAAGTTGAACATTTTAGAAATTTTTAATTACAAAATATTTATTACATTTTAAATTTGATAAATTTTGTCAAAATTCGAACTTTAAATGATTATAAGAAAAATTTGTGCCTATGTATTTTTAATATTTTTCAACTAATATTGTTACAATATATCAGGAGCCTTGAGTTAAATTTTCACGCTTTTTTACCCAACAAAAAAATTTTTATTGATATTTATAGAAAAAAAACTAAGAAAAATGAAAACTGTCAATGTCCGTAAATAGCTCAAAAGAGGCAAAATATTTTCAAATTTTTTTGGTGTATAAAAAATGAAAACATTCAGCAAAATTTTAAGTTTTGTGATTTTTCCGTATTTTGTCAAGATTCGAACTTTAAATGCTTATAAAAAAAAACTATGACTAAGGATTTTTAATATTTTTCAACTGCTATTGTAACAATATAGCAGGAGCCTTGTATTAAATTTTCAAGCTTTTTTACCCAACAAATAAAGTTTTATTGACATTCATATTTTTTGGATTTTCTTGAAATTTCAGGGGGGGCTGCAGCCCACCCAGCCACCCCCATAAATACGCCCCTGAGGTATCTAATTGTTGTTTAATAGAAATAGAAGTGCATTGATATTTTAAGACGTCCGATAAATTACTAGGTACCTAGTTTCAGGAAAAAAATTTTTTTGTGATATCAGAGAAATAAGTATTTCTTAAATGTTTCAACCTCATGTTACCAGTTACTAGTTAGGTATTACATTGTTTAATACAAGACTACCTAACACTTGAGAACTAAGCCGACTATGAGACTTTGAAAACTTTAAATAGAATTTGCAAAATGCACAATCTTGTATTACTGAATATAACAACCAGAAAATAGCATTAACCTTGAATATTGACGTTTGAGATTTTCTACCTCTTTGTCTTTTCCAGAAGTATTTGGTGTTACTGGAAATGAATAATTTATTTCTGGTGTCCTTACTCTATTGAGTATGTCATTTACTTCATGTTGTGAAAGTATTTTGTCTCAAAATAAACTGATATTATAATTACTATGAATTAAAGGTGAAGATGAATTTGCAAAATCATAGTTAGTCTTCGGTGTTTTGTTGGTCGGTTCTACATATATCATTAGACGAAACTGGTCTATTAGTTAATAAACTACAAATTAACGAATTAGTTTGAAAAGCATTAGCTAGACATAAAGACGTTTCAATAGTTTTAAGGAAAAATGTTGTGGATGGTTATTTTTTAGATAACATTTTATTGGAAAAACAAATTATTTAGTAGTTAGTACCTACTTTTGATTTTTTTGAATTCAACTATCGTAGAGCCAGAATCAACTGTAGGTGGTCAAATAAATATCTGTACATTTAAATAGTTTGGAGTAACAGGAATAGTGTTGTAATAGTCCCCTTTAAAAGAAAGTAATGGTAGAAAAATAAATTCATTGCAAAATCACAATATAACTGATTACTGGAAATAACTGATACTGTGGATAATTTTTAATTTTTTTATTTATTTATTAAGATTTTACTGGCTGAGCCCTTTAACAATAGTGCATAGCACATATATATAATATACAATAACAATACTAAATCAATACTAGCTTTTTATCTATAAATATAAATATATAAACTATAAATATATAATTGTTGACAAATTAAAAAATAATTATTATTTCCGTATATTTGAAGTAGGTATATAAATAACCCTATATATTATACTCTATTTCAAATAAGATCCGGTTTTCGTTTCGCAACAGTCAGACGTCATGCCCACTATGGCTTGCGTTATGCGCTTTAAAACAAAGCCATGCCCATGCGCACAACTCGGCCGCCGAAGCCTGATCTTATTTGGAATAGAGTATAGTATTTTTAGTGAATCTATATTATATTATAAAATAAACATTTATATCAGTGTCCAGGACCCCCCTCCCCCCTACCATAAATCTGCCACTAATATTATTTTAACAATATCAACTGTGATAAAGATTTATGAATCTAATAATTAATTTCTACATTAAATGTAAATATAAATTTATTTAAATTTTATTGTTTTTAAATATCTATTTAATTTGTTTTTAGGGTTTGGATGTTATGGAAAAATGTTTAAATCTATTGCGTCTGGACTACAAATTTATGGTAAAGTATACCCTATTAAAAATATATTTAATTTTGTTCCATAATATTTATGTAGGTATATGTTAATATGGTACCTATGTATGTAGCTATGGGCTTGATGCCCTAAATCATAAATAATGCACTAAAAACTGTACTTTTCCATCATCCCGACTGCACAATGCCGCGACTAACAGCCATGATAGTTTCATCTTTTAATACACAATCCACAATTATCATAGCAGTGGAAAGCTATAGTATAAAACATAAATAATGATCACAGTTAAAAATAAAACGTCTTAAATTCTATTTTTGACCACTAATTTTTGGAAATATTTTTCAATATGTTATCGAATGGATCTCCTTCGATATTTTTCTCCAGATAAACTCTGTCAGATACTATTCCAGATTATGGTGTCTGGTTCCTCAATGGGGGAGATAACGGAATTGAGACTTGTGGTAGTTGAGGCAATGTGATGATAGTCAAAATAACAGAATTGAGGACTCATAGTAGTCAAGATAACGGAAACTTACCCAAAATTATTAGCTATACAAAATTTTACGTACATTGTAAATAGAAATATATTATTTTAATTATAATTTGGTGATTTAATGACGCTGAATTTTGTTCATTTGTGATCAGTGATCATAAAAGTATTGAGTACCCAGCTTGATATATTTTATTGTCTGTTGGTCACTTGGTTGATTTTATTAGTTGAATGGTATTTCAAATGCAAGATAAGATAAGTTTAATTGATTGTATAATTATATTTGTAGCAGAAAAGATGTGTGTGCCCTGATTTGATGTTACTGCATTACTTAGTACATGCTCATAAGATAGTACCACGTTATATAATACTTTTATAAAATTGTGCTTATATACATGGTCAGTTGCATGAATGGTTGAGTCTTACTGCAGCTAAGAATATAATATGCAGGGATAGCTATGTGTAAGGTATATTATATAGCTTATCACAGCGTTTCTCAAACTGTGGGCCACGACTGATTATATAGACTCTAAGGGCCGATTTCACCAACACAGTTAATCACGATTTACGTTAACCGGAGTTTTAATCGGCCGAATTTGGCCGGTTAAATATCTGTTATCAGCCGATTAAGCGTTAACCGTAATTAACTGTGTTGGTGAAATCGGCCCTAAGAAATTTATTCATTATATACCAATATTATATTCATTATAATTTATAAATTAATAAACTGATAAGTTATAATAATAGTAATTAAATTTTGTTTACAGAACTAATTTTTGATCTATAAATAAACCATGGATGGGTCATGATAGATTTTTCGGGAATAAATTTGGGTCGCGGTCCTGAAAAGATTGAGAACCACTGGCTTAGGGGCATGGGCGTAACTAGGATTGAATAGTTACAGGGGCTAGAGTCCTACAAAATAAAAGGGTAAAATAACACGCGGGCGGCCAAGCCTCCCACACCCCCTTATACGATTCACTGAAATTTAGATGTTACAAAAAGTCCGCTAAAACCAAAATTTAATATAAACCATTATTTTTTTGGGTCATCTTCGTTCTTAGAACTACTTGATTTTTTTAATTTGAATATACTGAACATTTTTATAATTGTATACAATAAAATCTAACGTATTTACGAATACTGTATACGTACTCAAAAATAAAAATAACGGCTGTGACAGTCTGTATTAGTACCACCTAGTACCTACCTACTTTGCAGTCTGTACTGAGAGTGCCACAGAACCACAGTAAATTGAGAACTGAGAATGGGAAAATAAATAATGATTATAATATAATAGTATTCAACCACTGTACCAATGTGTGATACAACTAATATAGGTAACTATAATATTATAGGAATAGGTATACTAATACGGGACACGGGCACCTATATAATGGTAATAAAATAATATATTAATATTATATATAATGGGGGCGTTAATAGCGTTATATAGGTAAGCTTGAAGCTAATATAAAACTGACCAATTACGATAAATTCGTACTTGCTACATACCTACACAGTACACAATGTCAACTATATTATATCATATTTTATAATATAATAATTTATTTTTTTACACATGATTTATTTTTTGTAACAATTTGGGTTCAAACTACAAGCCTAAGGGTTGGCTTAAAAGTAAAACCTTATAGGGGGCCTAGGGCTAAGCCTAAGCCTTCCCTAGTTACGCCGATGCTTAGTGGGTGTCCTTATTTTTAATTTATGATTTCTTTCAGATTACCCCCCTAAAATGATTCAACAACAAAAAAAAAATCATACGAAAAAAGTTTCATGCAAATTCTTTAGTTATTATAACCCCTGCCGCAAAAGCTCTAAAGTTACAAAATAGAAAATTTTCAATAATATAAATGGTTTTGATATTTTTAGACGTAATTCTTGAAAAAAAAAAATTTTACAAAAATTTGTTAAGGGGATGTTACAGTGACATTTGTTGTCTCCGTCTTACAAGTGCGTAACATAGCAAATTTTACTTTCAGGAAAACACGTTTATCTTCCATTAGTTTAAAAATTAGAGCGAATTGACCTCTTATAAAATTAAAAGGTAAGATTATCAATGGCAATGACGGGCTTTTTATTATAATTTAATTTTAAAGCGAGTTATGTGTATTTTAAAATTGTAAACTGTTTGTACATCTTAAAATACTCATAACTCACTTTAAAATTAAATTATAATAAAAAGCCTATGTCATTGTCTAGATAATAATCTTACCTTAAAATGTTATAAGGGGTCAATTCATTCTAATTTTTAAACTAATGGGAGATAAACGTGTTCTGCTGAGCGTAAAATTATGTTTTACTATATCTATGATGGATATGCAAATGCTATAAGTCCCAAACTCTGATTATAATCTATATAGACATATTACCAGTGGCATATTGTTTTGTGTGCTGTATTTCCCCTCCCCCATTGATTTTATTGTACCTTATGGTGTAATAATAATTAATAAATATAATAGAGGCATCCATGATTAGTTTGAACCTCCTCCCCACATCATTAGTAATCTCGGGCTGTAGTACTAAATATTGCATCTTATGTATATTTTCATATTGACTTTTAATGACTAGAGTTCAGGACTTTTACCAAATAATATAGATTTGTTTGTGGCTAGTGTATTATTATTCTATATTAATATAATATAGTAAATTATTAATAATAAAGGCATATACTATAATGAGTTTAAAAGTGGTTATTAATTTTTTTATAGTAATTAGTCCAAGGCTGGGCATTAACGAGTTAATAAGTTTAAAGTTAAGTTAATTTTAACTTTTTAACTTAACTAGCTACTTTTGGATATCCGTTAATTTAACTACTAACTTGACTTAATTATTTTTTTTAATTAATGTAAAATCAACTACCTAAATTTTTATTTTAAGAAGTTATGGTAGTTTGTTGTATCTCATTTTATTTTATTACATTTCAATTGATTTTGATGTTTTCGAGTTATTGAGACTCGACTGTATTAAATGACTATGCATACTTATTGATTTCTGATGATGAAATTATTTTTGTTTGCATACCACTATGTGTTCATTTTCAAAAAATCAAAATATTTAAGACTACCTACTTATTGAATTTTATAGATGATGAAAATTGTATAATACATAACATAATATTTAGGCATGCAAAAAAATATTTATTTATGTGACTAAAATTTCAATGAAATGCTATATAAAAAAACTAGAAATACTCTATAAACACTACCTGTATAGTTTTGAGTTGCAAAATATAAAGTAGGCTAGGTTTTATATAAAATAAAAAGTTAAAAAAAAAATTGGAAATTAACTTTTAACTTAAAATTTTTTCTTATTAATAAAATTTAAGAGGATGTCAGAAAATGCGTTTGTCTATGTGCGTATGTCAGAGGAAAATAGTGCGCTGACATCCTCTTAACTTGCCCAGCTTTAGTAGTAACCATAGACCAATTAGAGATTTGAATTACAACACAATTTGTTAAATGTATTAACATTATATTAATGTATTGACATTACATTTATTTTTAAATGTAAATAAATAAATCATTGTAACCCAAAACAAAATAATTAGGTATGACACTAACTTATTTAAATTTTTTATTCGACGCATCTTTTTTTCAGATTATTGATAACAGCAAAGGGCGTATAAATGAGCAATATCCGCATAAAATACCAATTTTACAACATGAAAAGTTTCCAAGAGGTCCAAGAACTTCATCTAGTTCTGTTGATGACATTTCACCAAAAGGAAATTGTAATAGAAAAAGAAACAGTTTAGGTGCACCTTCACCTAGTAATCATTCATCTCCAGAACCCTTCGTGCGATCTCAATCACCAAGGCTTAGTAGCCCAAAAAAATCTAGTGATATAGTTGGTACTGATGTAGTATTAATTGATACTTTGATCAATGAAGCCAAATTTGCACGATGTCGCAATCGCTTTGTTGTACCGGTAATATTATACCAAGGAAGATATATTTGCAGGTAAAATAGTTTATTTTTTTTTTTGTAAGCTATATCACTGTACCAATATAGTTATAAGTAAAGTAGTATATTTATTTAATATAATTTGTAAGGTCTTCAACAATAGCAAGAATGACAGAAATAGGTCTGGGAACTGCAACAGCAAAAGGTCTGTCTTTTGAAGAATTCCGACAATTGGATACAAAAAGAAAATGTGATGTAGAATTACTTAATGCTTGGAAAGTAGGAACTATTATTGATTTAATGGTTGAAAATGAAAAGCGGAAATTTTCATTATCGTAAGTGTTTATTCAAGAATATTTTTGGTGTGTAATATAAAGGGGATGTGATCCCGGTTTTGTTTTCTAACAAAATATATCATCATATTATATTAATTGATTAAAACATCTAAAAATATTTGAATTTTACATAAGGTTAATTTAAAATTAACTTTTCTACTTTTTTGAAATGAAACTCTTAGATTTTAGATTCTGAGCAGAGCTAGGAAGCTAGTGGTTTTACAATGGTGTTAATTTCCTTTTTTTTTTCTTTCTTATCCTGTATTCAAAAGTTCTACCGGAAGTAGTGCTTCGATTTCAACTTATAGTACCTTATATTTTAGAAAATTGGATTAAGATGGTACTTTAGAGAGGTCATTTTTCAAATTTATCAATAGTTATTTAATGCCACGGGAAAAACTACCGACAAATTACGAAAAACCTCTAAAAATGGGATTTTAATTTCTAACTGTTTGTTTATCACCATAGCAACAAATAAAAAATATTAATATTATAATATTAAATCAACTTGCAGGTTATAATAAATAATAACAATATAAAAAATCCAGACTGATAAACCGTCTCCGCTCAGAATCGTTTTTCTTATACAAAGATATTATATCATTGAATTCAAGTTTAATACAATCCATTATACTTTGACCCACTTGTAAGCTAATGTACAGTAGAATGACATCCACTTACACGCTTTTTTTTTGAGCATTAACAATTTAAAAATATTAATAATATTAAATTAAAAAAGGTGTACAAGTGGGTACCACTTTGCCGTACAGTAGTTGTCAAGCAGTTGTTGTAATGGATATGTTATAATATGTGAATTCTATGATAAATCATATTCAATCCTTAAAAATGGTCGGTATCAAATCCCTCTTAAGTATATTTTATTATTATTTATCATATATCACTAATATAAAATATTTATTAATTGTCAATTTTTAATTTGTGTGTTAAGCGTAACATCTTCAGAAAAAGTAGACGATACTCAAAAATATTCTGTGTTTCGTATTATACCTACACCATACCCAGGGTGTGAATTTTTCCTCGATTTTAAGAAAAATAATTACAACTCTGAAGGTTTAATGTTTAATTGGTCTGATCCGTATATTAATTCAACGCTTAATGTGAAACCCAATCCTGCTGTTGATCAATTGGATATTCAATGGAGTAAATACAAGGTTACATTTTATTAAATATTTATATATTTTAGATTACTAATTATTATTTTATTTATTTAAATTTAATATTAATTATTATTTATTTTAATTTATTTAAGTATCATATTTGAGACACTATATACTTACCATTATTGCCCATATAACTGTACCTAAACTTCCCAATCATACCTAAAGTAACAAATTTACTTCTTTCAAAAAATTGCCACTCTCCTGTAAATTCAATGCATATAATATACACTAATTTCTTTATAGATTGTATTGGCTTATCATAAATTGGGAATTATCACTGGTGATACATTCTTAAAAAACTATTTACTTCCATAAAAAATCTATTTATTTATTAAGCATTAGTTAATAATTGAATAACAACAAGTCAAGGTAAACAAATAAATGTATTTTTACTAAAAAATAATATTAATTCAAACTGAATAAAATAGAGCATTTAGTTACGGCCTATAATTGGATCAAATAAATCTGTTGCTATACTCTATCTGATATTAGAGTTGAGTTATGTAAATTTATGTTAGGTGATAAAACTCAAAGTTGGTATATAGGTATCAGTGATGTACAATATTATTGGAAGCTGGGTAAGCGCCAAAAAAAAAAACTACTTATTTAAGGTGAATTAAGGTTTTTTTTATATTGTACAGTATTTATTTACTTATTTATAAATAAAATCCATTTTTCTAACTTATTTTACAAATTCATTCGTAACTTTATCATAAAAATCTATATCTTTTTTTTGTTTTTATTAATAATTCTTTATCAATAGATACTATCAACAGAGAACTTTGTCTATTTTGATTTTGTGTCAATCTTGAAAAGATTTTATTTGTTTCATTGCTGAAAATGACCTTTTACCTAAAGCAGTTGTACTATGAATAGTTAGGATCACAACTAAATAAATCATGTACAATTCTAATATATTAATGAGAATATATTTATTGTTTTTTACTATAGACACTGTTTAATTACCTTACAAGTGAAATTTTTTTTAAGTGTGAATTTATTAAGTTCAATACTCATAAAACAAATTGTAAAAATAACTAAGTCTGTGTAGGATACAAATAATAAATGCATCTATTTGATGTTTTTCTACATTTATGATGACATCTAATTTATTAAAATGTATGCATAATATATTACAATTTTACCACAGGACATTAAATTAATATTTTTGAATTTGGCGTTATAGGAGTGGGACTTGCGGCAATTGACAGAAAACTACTTGAGTTTGATGTTAAAATATGTTTGGTGTTCATCAAAAGGAATATTAATACATTGCATCAGTGGTTGGGATCGTACACCAATGTTCATATCACTATTGAGAATGTCCTTATGGGCTGATGGTGTTATCCATAAATCATTATCTCCTAGCCAGATTCTGTATTTAACACTTGGGTACGACTGGTATTTATTCGGACATAACCTTCAAAATCGTCTTGAAAAAGGAGAAGATATAATGCATTTTTGTTTTCATTTCCTCAAATACATTTTTAGTGATGATTTCAAGACACCTACTAAGGCGTAAGTTGAACAATCCATGGTGATTAATTAGTACTAATAAAAAACTAATGTTTTTGTTTCTGTATAATATTAGTTCCGCAGTTACGGCACCAAGTAGTCCTAAATATTCCTCATACATGAGTGAATTTGATTTAACTGATTTGGATCAATTGGATATTCGTTCACGGAATAACAGTAATGGCAGGTATGTAATTAATCTTTCAAATATCATTTTATCATCATAATAACTTAATATTTATATTATAGTAATGAAGATTTAACAAACGGTAAGTCTTATGATATGTTGGAAGATAATCATTCACAATTTGATTTTGAACAAACGGCAACACCTAAACTAAAATCAATAAAAAAACCGGCAGAGAAATTTTTTATAAAAGAAACAATATATGAAATGGAAGACATTGAGGACATTGATGATGATGATTTTATTATGTCTGATGAAGTAGAAACAAAACGGTACAAATGCTCATCTCCTCGCAGGCGGCATCGTTCAGTTAGGTCTCCAGAATTAGATTTTGATTACGACGATTGTGAAATCCCTTCCAATTTGGATAGAACTATGCCGGTTGATATGCCTACTTCACATAAACATATAAGAACCTATTCAAATTCAAGCGAGACTGATGAGTGAGTATACAAAATAAATAAATTAGAAACTAATTAGCTACTTATCTTTGTTACGTTGTTAGGTGGTCAATGGTAACTCAAACCGGTAGCCTAAATGGTAATGATATGTCTGAGAATAGATTTCGACCTATTTCATCGTAAGTTTAAGTATTGTATAAAACTATAAAATATTTGAATTTGCATATTTATTTGATTTAAATGTTGTAGACGAGAAAACAGATTATCTGCTGTTAGAGAATTGTTCCATAAATGTTACAGTACATACGGCTACAAAACGGACGGTCCAGAAGGTATTCTCAGCAAATTATTATTTTGATATCAGAACATATGTATATATAAATAACATTTTATTTTCAACGGTACTATTTGGAAGATATATTGTGAATAGGGTCAATTAGCTTTTTATATAACATGAATAATATCTGACATCAATAATACTTTTTTTTTGTGTGTTTGAGCAAACCCATTTAATGCTTTTACCCTAAATTAATTTGTATTATATTACAATCCGGCAATATTAAGTACACTGAACAAAAAAACAACCAACTATTCAAATCTTAATTCACATACAGCATAATATGCATTACTTATACTTAAAATAATTCATACGGATAGATTAGCTCTTTCTATTATTTGTGTATCAACATTCCCAATAAGTTCACATTATAAATTGTATATACATATATTTGTATAATTTAAATAATTTATTTTATTATATTTGCTCTTGATAGTTATATTATTTCGTAGCTGATTACCTCACCCAATAATATTGTATTACATGTAAGCTAGAACATTTTCATTTTTGTTTTATATAAAAAAATATTAATACAGGGAAAATGTGTCATACTATTTTCTAACATAAAATTAATCTTAATTTATTTTAGGTACATATATTTTATGTATCCATATTTTGTGTATTATCACAAAATGTTATGTATATTGCAATAACTTACAAAGAAAATAAAGTAGTATATTAAAATTGAATGTACTTAAACTAAGGGTATGTGGTAGCATAAATAGAACTTTCGTCAACAGTAGTAATATCAGAATCATGTTTCATATTTTCTAATGTTATGAGTCAGGCGAGTAAACCCTAATCTGGGATTATGGTGCTTTAAACTTACATTTTACCAACATTTAACTATCAAGTGCACAGGGAGTAAATATATGGCTGAACTTTTGTTTTAAATACATCATAATAAATTTGCTTATAGCTCAAATAGTAAAAACATATTTAAATATAAGCATATTTTAAGCAGCTGTGAACCCTAATATCAAATATTTTTTTATACTTGCATTAAAAGTTGAACTAAAATTGCTAATACTTAGTACTATTCAAATACTTATTTTTATAATCTATCTGATTAATAATGTATTAAGTAAAACCAATTTTCCATTATGCTTAAAATAATATAAATATAGAAAAATTAGCATTAATTGTTGCATCAATTATCTTGAGGTTCAGACAAATATAAGAAAATATAGTAATATAGTATGTATAGTTAAAAAATATATATGAGTGATAAATACCAGTTGAATAAATACTACATGTTATTTAAAATAGGGCTTTTCCTATTAAATATTAAAAATAAATAAATAATATTCATTACAATTATTGATATATGCCTAGTGTTAATCAAGTAATACAGAATATAAGAATATATTATAATTATATTGATAAAATGCTTAAAGATTTATAGATTCGTATTTTTTTGAAAACGTAGACCACTGCAAAAAGTCAAACATATATTGAACCTTGACAAACTTCTACTTCTAAAACCATTATTACCAATTCCTGGCTAGTTTAATGTTACATAATATAAGGAAAGATGTATACAAGGGAGGATGTGAGGGTCAGATACCTCCCCATAGGTCTTCTTTTTTTATACTTTTATAAAATATAATGTTCTTAGTGTTAGCACGTTACAAGGAAACATCAAAAACAAAGTTAAATACATTATATACTATAATTGGTTGATTCAGAGGCGTAATTTTAACTTTTTGAAGGTATGCTAACTATAGGTAGGTAGGCCAAAAAAAAATTAAGCAGACCAATATAATAATTATAAAAACCATTTTTTCCCTGTACGCTCCAAAATTTGAATCTTTATATTTTTCATGTAATAATCTAATATATTTATGAATATACTACTTGTACCTAATAATACTAAATTTGTACTTAAATTATTAGTCAAATTTGAATATTTATAAACACGCTATTGTACCTAATTGTAAATATTACCTATATTTTGTTATTTATTATTTTAATGTACAGGCACCTAAGTTTAAATTTTTTTCTGATCCCCCTCACCAAACAAAATGTTTGTACATGCCCCTACATATAAGATAATCAGTGTGGACACTATGAATTAGTGATACCTTGAGTGGATACTATCCCCACGTATATTGTCTCCGACTAATAACTGTACAAAATACCAAATTTGTGTTCATAAAGACCATTTGCATGTTAGATTGAATTTATCTGTTATAAAAGTTAAAGATAAGAATTTAAACCATGTTTATATGTTGGTATCTACAATATTAACATTTTTAAGCAAGTTATGAGCAATATTACAATCTAAAAATTATTATAACTCGATTAAAAATTTAAATATCATAAAAACTTAACTTACATATATAGATAATGTTCTTACCTTTTAGTTTAATACAATGAAAATTCAATATAATATTAAAAATAACACTAAATTGGTTTTGCTTAATCTTCTATGCTGTATGTTAGACAGGAACTGTAGGTCTTACGGAGGAGATCCTTAGATCTTAAGGTGGTTCTAGTCGAAATGTTCTTATGAGTATAGAATAGTTATTAATATTATGTCATACATGCCTATCTATGAAAAGTAAATGAACCTAGTGGAGAGGATGTGTTCACATAGTGTATTTGTAGGTACAGACACATGTCAAGATTATATACTACGGGACAATTTATACCTCAATGAGACTAGTCTATCATGCGCACGAAATACTCTTCGGACTTTTAATAAACACTAAATTATTGAAAATAATAATAATATACATTGTCCAATCTATATTATTTTTTACATGTTTGGAAAACATGACACAATAATTGTGAAAATTACATTTTAGCTGTTAGTTTAGTCATAGGTACAAGGTTAGCGTACTGAAGAACTTTATTTCTTAGTTCCTACTAAATAGTAGGAAATATGAACTGAACTATTGTTATTTTTTAAATGTTGTTTAGGTTAGTGGGTCAACCAATTTGTGTCATCATTCCAGAAAAGCAAATTTTTGCTGTATCCATCTTTACTTCGTCTCACAATAATATAAGCTATAACAAAATCGAAAGATTTTAATTAAATATATTTAAAAACAATCAAGTTTAAATACATCATACTAATGGCTGAAATAAAAAAATTTTAAATCACTTCAATAGTTTACCATATTATGATATTAGGTTTTTATCTTTTTACAGAATTAAAATAAGTCTATATAAAGTGTCATCATTTTGTGGTGTGTTTAGATCTTCATGTATTACTTTTTGATCAACTAAAAGTTACAACTACCTTGAATCTTAAATATTTATACAGTTAATAATTAATTATGATATCACTTTATTTTCACTGAAGTGTTAAATTATAATAGTATAATATAAATGATAATCTATAGATTTTTACTATGATGTTGAGAGACATTAAATTGAAATAATACTGTATACAATAAACATATTTAAACTATTATATGTTGACTACTATCCTGTATTTTGTGACACTCGTGGTTTCATGGTTTAACTTTTGGGCAGAACAATTCTATATTATGTTTAATTGCTTGCACCATTATACGGATAAGTCCATTGTACAGAAAATATGAATCTTAATTTTGATATTCAACTTGTGTATTATTTTGGTAAGAGATACACCTACTAAAAATGTTACCACATTCCTTTACGTTTTAAATTAATATAATTTTCAGAGCTAGTGTTAAGAATATTATTTGCAATTAATGAAATTAGTCGGTATTAGAGTACATAATATTATTGTAATAATGGTATATTTGTGTTTTTGTTACGTTATGGCTAATTCATAACTCAAGTAAATATGTACACAAATAAATAAATTACTTATGATGAAAGAACATTTAAATAACTTTGTTAGTTATGATTTGCAGCTATAGAATATTGATTAATTTAATATTTTTTTTGTATGTTAAAAACTATTACATTTTGATATATATTTTATATTATATACTAAAAATCAATTGTATTTAATAAAAACGCTGTAATAACATTAGGTTAAATTAAAATATTTAAAAATCTTCTTTTAATAATTTATTAATATATAATCTTTTTATCTTCGCCGGATATACTTCTATATTTCATTTACAAACTCAAATGTGTGTGAACCAATTTTACTCTATACATATTTTACAAAGAATGGCCAATAAATTGACCCAAACATTAATAGAAGATAATTTATTTCTATTTAAATCTGTTGGTTCATGCAAATTATTTCTTACACATAATTTTTTAAATACGCAACAACAAATATTGTAGTATGGACATGCAAACATTTTTAATATACTTGATAAATACATGTAAATCATATTTAATTTTTCTTAAAAATAACCAAAATAGTCCATTTCTTTAAAAATAAAATGGATGTCCTTTTAAAGCAACATTAATTATTAAACAAATAAGTATAGTTTAGCATTTTTTTTTAATTTGTATAGATGTAATAAGGCCTTGTTGTAAACATGATAGACTGGACGGCACAGCACATGAAACGATCAATATTAATAATACCTTATCTAATATTTTTTTAAATATTTGTTGAGTGTACTGAAAAAAATACTGATCTTTTCACAGATTAAACTAAATTAACTTGACCCTTTTTGGTCTCCTTATTTTATCTTGTTATGTAATTCATTAAACTTTTTTTGTAATTTTTTTACGCAACTGATAAATTAATATGTTGTAATTATTGGTCATTGAGTATCATTGAAAAACCTTCAGTAATTCGGATGAATTTCAAATCCAAACAACATACCATTCTTGAATTTGTTCGAACTATCAAGGTTCTACTTCATAATCAATAATAAATTCTTAATATGAAATCTACCTTAACCTATTGTAATAAAACATCAAATATTAATTTAATCATCTCGGCCGTTAAGGATAAGTAAATTTAATTTAGGTTTCTGTCGATATTAATGTCAGATTTTATATTGCATAGAGGTGTACATATTTTATTTATTACAACAATTTCAAATTTATAATCAATTATTAAATGAAATGTAAGATAATATTAAATAATGATATTTTGTAGCCTACTTAAAAAATATTTTACCTATTTGGCTATTAATAATTGTAAAAGTATAAACATGTATTTATATTGTTCAAAATGATTAACGGATGCGTTTAATAAGGTTAGGATTTGTTAAAACTATTGTTTCCTAGCAAATTGTGATTAAAGCATAGTTAAATTACAGCCTTAATATGAACTAACATGACTGTTCAGATAAAATAATGTAATTTGGTCAAAAGTTTTTCTCTTTGATATGTTTTTTATTTTGTGTAAATTTTGGAATAATCATAAATATTACATAAAGAAATAATGTCATTTAATCATAAATTGTACAGTTTTCACCACCGATACATGACGAGTTTATTTTTATTTTTGTTCATCTTGGTTATGACAGCAATATTGATGAATCAAATAGGCTGTCACCTTTCCTGCCTAAATGTGAATTTGACTTTGACTTTAACAGGTATAAGTTTTAAGTTATAGTTATAAGAAAAATAATCATAATAAGCTGTTTTAAAATTTTTATAATTTTTATAATTAATATATTGTTAAGTTCCGAAATTTACACGACTGTTTACTACTGTAGCTTTTACTATCATGATATTATCCAATAAAAAAATATGTTTTTATACAAATAAATATATTATAATATGTCATAGGTATATAAGAACATTTTTTGTTGATTTTTTGGGGGGGGGATTTTCAAATGTACGAATATTAAATGAACTTAAAGTTAATTTATTAGATCTTTGTATGGTCTTGAACTGCACATTTAAATTATTGTGACTCATTAGTTTTTAAATTTACATATTTGTGATATGCAAATAGCATTAATATACATCAAAACCGCAACAAACGTGGACACCAAAATCGTTTAAATTGGACTTATATAACTGTGTTCATATAATTAAGTACTTAATATTTATAATTATGTAATATTAGCTCAATGATTGGAATGTTATAGATGTACATTTCGTGTCATTTTGATTTATACATGTGTAAACTGTAGGGTTTACAATTTTAGTTTAAACTGGTAAATGGTAAACACTGATGAATAATTATGTTAAGATTGTTATTCTAGAACTTATTTTTATGTAATTTTATTATATCTTTTTTTTCTTTTATTGTTGATGTTATAAAATGTATCAATGTTTGTAACATTTCATAATAATATATCTTCTAAAAAAATAGTAAGTGTGTTTTATTTATTTCTTACAACTGGTTTTCAGCTTTACATTTATTTCACAATGTAAAATTTCAATGCTGATATTATTTACGGGAAGAAATAAAAATCAGTTGTTTGAGTACTTAATTACTCGTAAAATACTTAATATATAACTAAATATCCATGTTTTCTTAATTTTTTCATACCTAAAATCATATTTGTACCGTTGTAAGATTATAAATTATAAGTTGAATACCTACATATTTTACCGATATTCTTCCTGTATAAAAAATAATGAGTCATAAAATAAAACACAAATCAAACTTATAGTTGAATAATAATTTAATATATGAAGGAATAATATTACATTCTTAAATATCATTACATTTTATTACTAAATATAAATATATAATACCCTAAATGCTACATGATGTGCTTTCGAATACTACAGAGTATGCGAGTGCAAGCGACAGTTAATCAATTGTGGAAGACGTGTGTGAATAGTTTCATTAGGGAAATCGGAAACGTACAAATAGGATAAAAATATTCTGAACGTTGTAGCATGTGCTTGATTTTAATTATTATTGATATGTTTTTGAAAATTAGTTACAGTAAAACACCCTTATAACAGAATCACTCTGAACCACATGTTTTTCCATTAAAAGGAGACTAAAATATACAGGATATAGATTATACAGGACTGTTGTTATTTTCGGTTATAAGGAGATTTTCTTTTTATAGGGAGTCCAATTGTTATAAGGAGGTTTTACTGTATATATTATTTCTATTAATTGAATGCTAACTGGCATTTATACATAAGAACAGACTAGAGTTTCTTTTGAAGCAATCATAAAAAATTTAATTCCAAGTACACGTTCAATCCCATGTATTTATTTACAAGATTTTTGTTCAATGTTTTTGTAGCATATATCGCATTTAACGTAACAGCACCAAACAAATTTGCAATTGCAGTGTTCCTCTTCCTTCACAACCTGAGAAACAAAAAAAATTTTTTACTCTACATTATGAAATTATTACACGTTTTGTATTACCTTGGTGATATAACCACGACCACAACACAGCTTATTACAAGAATCTGGTCCAGTTGATGTAATATTGCATTTACGCCCTTCTGTACCAAGTACTCCGTTTTCAAAGTCTTGCTTACAATAGTTCGGAGACTTTTGTATATGCACCAATTCTTTTGATTCAATTAACATTCGTCTTTTTAGTCTCTTTAAAGCTCTGGGCTCTCTCTTCTTGTGTATTGTACTATTTTTCTTTTGTGAATCGTTAGCAGCATGATTTATCTATCGTCATGAATAATGGAAGTTATTAATAAATATGACAAAAAAAATTCATCAACAACATACAAGAATAGCCTTTCCATATTTTTGTTTAAGTTCATTGCCAATCTCATTGAATGATGGCATAAATTTCCAACAGGTTTTTAGTTCACATGATCCTGACACACCATGACAACGACAATGCATTTTCATTAATGACATTACAATCTGAAAACAGTATAACTTTGATAAATTAACTTTTAACTGATTAATATTTGCTGTTCATTAATGTATAAGCAATAAAATAAATAAATACCAATTGTATAATTTTTCTGAAAAATGCATTAGGTGCAAACCAATATGAACATTTTTTAATGGAATCTCACTAACCAGCAGTCTTGTAAAGAATACTTTTATTTTGTATTCGGAATACATATTCGAATAAATGTGAATTAAGAATACATACGCGAATACTTTTTTTCACAACTAGTTTTTGTCAGTTTTTGAATGGTTGGTAATTAACATTTATTGATTAATAATTAAAAATACATTGTAATCATAAGTTATTTATACATTTTGACCAAATGTGATGCAGCCACTACGGGCCATACGGAATACAACACATTGGTGTTTATAAGAATAATCATATCATGGGCCAATATTATATTTCGTTCAAAGAATAAAATTAATGTTCATAATTTATTATATGTCGTCACAAATTTAAAACTATTTTTCCGGATAGGAAAATAAGTATTTTTTAATGAATAAAAATACAAATAAAATTATCTAAAATAGTATTCGAATACAAAATAAGGAGTCAAATACTTTTATTTCGAATACTTTACAAGACTGCTAACCAGTGCCAAGTTTTTAATCTAGCCCTCAAAACCTTATACCATAACATATCATAATATTAATAAAAAAAAAAAAAATTTAATTTTCATTAATCTTTGTGATTGTTATAAAATATAGATAAGTTCTGTTTATTGCTACCTAGGATAATATTATGTACAGGAAATATTATAAAAACAAAATTATAATCGCCTGTATTACCTGTCTGCCTACTTCATTGTTGTGCAAGTTCATTTTGAGGCGATTGGACCAGATTCTCTTCTGTTTTGTGGTTTTGAAATTATCTGGGCGATTGGGTTCAGAACCATCAACAAATTTTCGAGAGAATTGCAATCCAAAACGCAAATTATCACTGAAATTTAAAATTATATATATTGTGATTAGATATTCAGGTAATAATAAATTTCCTAGCCGTGTTATGTTGGAATAGGGATTTTTTCAAAATGCAATGGCAAATTTTAAATGGCTCACATTTAATCAATTTTCAAAAATAGATTTTGCTGAACTATTTATAAAAAATTCAAGTTATAGAGGCATACACATTCCAAGATAGTTAAAATATTTCTATAAATGTGTATTTTTATACCAATGCAAAGATGTCTTAATTCAATCAATAAATTAATATTACCGGAAAAATGAACACTGTATAATATATATATTAATATTTAAGCACCAAGTTATTATTTGAATCTAATAATATATACCTGCAACCTCCCCATTTCCATCCTTCAGGTGTTGTTTGACCATGTTGCATAGAGTCGCAACTGCATTCAGTTAATCTACCAGAACTACATGCGTTTGTAATTGAATACACTACTCCTGCACTGGTGATAGCATATATGAAAGCAGTCTCTTTACTACCTACACAAGTACATAATAATAATTATTAATTATGAACTTTTCTTCTAACTTTTCTCTTCTTATTTTAATATATATTCATTTTTTTAAAAGCATACATTTATTTTTTTATTATTATTCAATGTGACAATGTGTTTTATACATTGATATTAATCATATGGGTGAGGTATTGTAAAAATCTCTAAGCCATATGGACAAGGTGTATTAAAATTTGAGTATTTTATACATTTTAATATTTTATTGTAATATATTTTATAATGCATATATCATAATAGTATGTTCGTGGAGTTCATGGAATTTTATTTTGCCATGATAGTGTAATAAAACTAAAAATATTAATTGTGTGTACCACTACACCAATTTTATTCAGCTAACAAAAACATTGTGTACAATAACTGAATACATTAGTAGATATCTATGACACAGGTCGTGTTTATTTAATATTGAGATTAGTGAACCCACACCAGCACAGCTTCACAGAAAAACCCATGTTTGTAATAAGTCGCTTTCAAATAAAACCGGCCCCCTCAATAATCTAATCAGTAACAGTGTATTAAGTATTACCAGTTTACTGTAATACTGTGTTTAGTAATATGTAGATTTGATGTGCACTGTGCCATAAAATATTATTATGAGACATTATTATTAATTTAATTTCTATCAATATCGATAACACAGTTATTAATTTACAATTAGAATACATGTTGGTGTGTTATTAAAAACTAGAGGCACTGTAAAAGTATTAAGGCACTAATAATTTTTCCAGGTTCAAAGCAGAAATTTGAGTGTGTATGTCTATGTGCATGTCTATGCTATTAACTGAAACATTGTTACATACATTTTCTCTATTTAAAATATGTTAGTTTTGTTTTCACTCAGAAGCTTCTGTGCAAGCTAGGACCAAGGCAACCAAACAATTATTTAATTAATATTAAAATTGTAACAATTGTTTATATATTATTTTTTAATTTTAATTTTTTAAATTTCTTCTTTTGACCCACCAAAGTATGAACTAGATTCAATTTTCTACCAGAAACCTCCCTCAAAGTTGATGATGTGAGCAATTATTCTATAAAAAAGTGTCTTCAGACACAAAAAAAAGGAAAGTACATCTCATTCTAAAAATTAAAATCAATACTTTCATCATTCCACTCAAAATCTAAAAATTAATGTCACCCATAATATAGAATTTTAATTGCAGAACTTAATTAAATTTATTAACTGCTTATGATATTTAATGACCTACAATGTTACAATTGTTACAAGTATTGATAAAGTAGTATTATTTTATAAAAATATGGCAGTTATAATAAATTATCAGTAATTATTAATTATTGTTGAAAAAAGTTGTATTTTAAGATATTTAATATCAAATATTAAAATATAAGGAAAAGTTATTTTACTAATATATTAGTACTTAATTCATTTATCTGAAAAAAAAAAACAAATTGATGCATAAAATGAGTTTTAATTTATGAGCTTGATGCTCATTATAATTCAAATTAATCAATGCTATCAAATGTTATAATTATTAATTCCAAACCTTTGTCCAGTGTAGGACCGAATACACTTTGTTCATTTTCCATAACTGAACAATTCCATCGTTCATGACGAAATTGAAGTTGACACTGTTCGATGGCTTTTTTAGCTCCATCGGAAACTGAGTATATAGCATTTGGATGTTTCATGCACACATCCACTTGTTTTGATGCTAACCCAGGTAAAGCACTACAAACAGCTCTGGCTTGAACTACTTCGGGATCCTCGATCTCTGAGCCTGGTGATGCTTGTTGTTGTTGAAGAGGTGGTGGTATTCCTATTATACCTAAATACCTATAATTTAAAATTAGTGTAAAGTTAAGAAACTATATAATAGTACTAAAAATAACTAATTACAACAAAAAGGGACTAATTATCAACTCAATGGGTTAATTTGTGTATGCATTTATATGAAAGTAGATACCGATTCTGAGGTTTTATATACATACACGTTATGTATAACTACAAGCCATTAACTGAAAATATTTAAACTTACAACGAATACACTACAAACAAAAATGTAAAAATAATAAAATAAGCTATTACGAGTTACTTTTGAAAGGAAACCTAGTTCACAGTACCTTTTAGAGGTTAAAATGACTGTTGGTATATAAATCTAATAACAACATGTTATAAAAAATGTACTACAATAAGTGAACAAAAAATACAATTCAATTAAAATATTCAATTTGTTCAAAAATATTGAAAGCATTTTATAATCATACAAAATAAATTATTCAAAAAATGCTAAATGTCACAATAGAAAAAATGAAAATAACGACACTCAAACTACATAACACAATATTTAGCAAACACAATAATGACTACAATCACTTGCCAATGGAGACTAGCTAATAAAATGACTTACATCCAATTTGGACTTGCAGATAACGTAAACGGCAGAAACAACACAATCAGTTGAATGAAACTCATCACATTTCTCATACTGGCCAATGTTACAGATAATATAAGAATCGATGTACTTTATATGAATTGTAGAGAATTTGTATAGATTAACCGAATAGCATTGTCATCCTAGTATAAACTATGACATACGAGTAGGGCCATCGAAAAACCAAACAGTCACCAAGCTGGGACACCTAGATGACAGTTGCGGTTGTATGTTACCTACGGACGTATATAAGCCGATCGTTGTAATTGTTTGGAATGCATTCATGGTACCAAACGATTACATGGCGCACTTACTGCGTTCGTATGAGCGATCATCAACATTGTAATTGTGCTATGAACGACCGTTAAGAAGATCTAACGGCACGCAAGTTGCTGGGTGACGAGATGAGGGATGCAGACCACGACTAGACGTTATTCTCCAGGCCCAGGCAGAGGGAAAAAAGCAAACGACGAACGACCGACGGCCTGCTGCTGGATAGCAACTGTAGGAAGTTTAAACTTTGTAGTAGCGACAAGAGAGTGCAGTGACAAAGTGCTCGATAAACGATATTATTATTATTATTATTATTATTATTATTACTATCGCCGAGATGTTATTGTTATTAATTATTAACGTATGAGTGATAAGCATTTGTCCGAAAAATGATAAGGACCCGAAAAATGATAATGTCTAAAATTCGGAAAAGCAGTACCAACGGACTGAATCAAAATTACCATATTAATTACATAGTATTCAGTTCACGATGCGGAGAAGATAAGTCGACAACATCGGCCAATCGAGGTATATAAACTATAGTTTGTATACCTCGAATCTCGATGCCGCATCGGCCTAAGATTTATAAAGAAGAAGCTATCAGTTATGGGTAAGGAACCCAAAGTCCGTAAAAGTAGTGGGGTAATTATGAATAGAAACAAATTATATTCAAAGTAAAGAATTAACAAAAAAAAAAAACACATCAATAATATCAATTAATATTTACAATAAACAAAATATTTGATATATTATACTATATTATATTACTTCATCCAAGTACGCCCTAGCGCTTAACATACAAGCAATTAGTATATTGTTAATCCTCGTCATCAAAATCATCGGACATTCGGACGAGACACTATAGTGTCGCAGGCCGTTCCAAACATTTTTTTTTCGCGACGTTAATTATTCCGTAAGAGAGGGAGCCTTTATAACATATAAAGTTATAACTTATAAGTTATAAGTTATTTTTTATCTAGGATCTCTAGGAGGCGCTATTAAAACATTCCAGTGAGGACATAACCGGCGGAGCGCACTCTCGGAACAAACGTGGTAAAGATACGCTACATTGAAGTAGTCACGGAGGCGCTTTACTGGAATTTTAGTGAGGACTCGCAGCAGTGCTTCGCACTTACAAATTTCGTAGTCAGCGTCTTAGAGGTGCTACATCTTTGTAAACAACACTCACATTTCTGTGATCATACTAACGTGTATTGTCGTCATAGGCGCATTTTCAGTTTTTAACTTGGAGGGGCTTAACATATTTAAACGAAACAGGCCCGTTCAAGTACCGATATGACGATATCATATTTTTATCATCTAGGTACTTTCCTACATTTTCCTAATAAACCTAATATAATATAATATTATTATAATGCACCTATTAATAAAACTAAACTAATTTATATAAAAAAAAAATTATAAAATGTAGTAAATAAATGTAATATATATTTATTTATTATGATTGGAACCTTTCGGTTATAAATTGCAAGTTTATCTAAAATTTTTTATTTCGATAATTCATTTGATAAATCTCGATCTATATAAATTAATGATAAATTTGTAAATCTATCTTGATTCATAGATCTTCGAAGCCAATTTTTAATCTTTCTCATTGCTGAGAATGATCTTTCACATGTTGCAGAGGTAATTGGAATAAATTGTTAAAGATAATTATAACAGTTTATATAAATTAAGATAAATCTCTGCATCCATGTTTAATTTGATATCTTCCAAAGTGAAGCTGTAGTTTCTACGGGAAGCACAGTTTTTCACCACAAGCATTTCTGATTGAGGGGTATTTACATCCACATTTAATAAGTCCTAAAAAAAAAATCATAAAAATTAATCAACATATTGATATTTAAAAACATTAATACAATATAAAAACTATACCTACTTTGTACTATTCAATAAAACATTGCTTCTCATAATAATTCATTTTATAAAATTAATCAATAGATGTTGCCAATTCCAAGCTATTAAATGAAAACCTCTTATTAAAATGTATTATTAAAGTGTCTATAATTTGATAATTAGCCCAGTCAAATTGAAAAAAGTTCGGAACTAATTCCACGAAAGCTGGAGTTTGATTGTTTTTTAGTTTATACCTCACTTATAAACATACTAAAAGTCCTGACACCTACCCCCTGTGCGTAGCCCTCCGCCCCTCTTCAAAGGGTGGCGGGCCCCTCTCACTGTTTTCTCGTTAGCTTTTCAAGTTACAATAAAAATACCTATGACCAAAATTAAATACCATACAATTTACCATAGACATTTACTACTTTTAGTGTATATATGTTGCAGTAAGTATGATATTTTTAAAAAATATAAAAAATAAATTATTTTTTTATTGTGATTGAGCAAAAACTGTCAATCATACGCTAAAATGACCTATGACAAAAGTTAACGAACAGATAATTTTATATAATATAATGTTAAATTATTTTAACAATTTTAATTATTGTGAATGATAGTGTTTTTTATGTCAGTAGTGAAGATATAATTGAACAATTTGTTGACAATTGTGAAGCACAAGAAGTGGGCCAACAGACAATAAAAAATGTTTTAGGTGATAATTTTAGGGTGTTGAGGCAGGTTTTAGAAAGTCATATTTTAGAATGCCGAGTTTTAGAATACTAAGTTTTAGAAACACTATGTTTTAGAAAATAAAACTTTTAGAATACCAAGTTTTAGAAACACTGTTTTAGAATTAATAAATTCATCTAAATTATAATTAGAATCATCGAATATTTATTTACATATTTTACATATTTAATTATTTTTTTTTTTTTACTGTTTATCGGTACTTATATAAAATATTGTCTAATAATTCTTTCATAAAAAAAAATAAATATAATAATTGTTAATACTTAAGATTATTAGCAATAGCTCTCATAAATTCATCTGAATTTAAAAACCAAACATTTTTCGTAACGCGTTGCTTCTTTTTTTCTAAACCTCATTCTAATTTTTCCAATCACGTAATTTTCTTCAAAATATGTTACTAGATCAATTTCATCGTCCTCAAATTCAGATTTCAAAATACCCCACGCTTCCTTCACTTTCTCCGGTGTCAAAAATGCTAAACTTGCAATTTTACGGGCTCGAAAATTGAACTCGAGCACATTTTTATACTTTGTAACCAAACCTAACGCTTGGATCTTACGATATATCGACTGTTGTAAATGAAAAAACATGCCGAATGGATTGCAAACATAAATACGTTATTGATTGCATTAATCGCTGCCTGTTCGAAATCAGTTATTATTTCCAAATTATTATTTTCTTTAAAAAAAGATTCCATTTTCTTCAGCAAATTTATTTAAATTAGAAAATAACATATTATATAAATCTTCATCTTTGCCAGTCATTAATGCAAATACTAATGCAAATACCATTTCGTTTCCATCCCGTGAAATTGAACCGCGCACAACATAAAATTGTTTAAAAAGCTTAGGACACGATTTAAAAGTTCCGTCTAAAATCCAAAATTGTGAATTCTTTAAATAATTACAATTTTCGATTGTTGTGAAAATCATGATATAATCATCATTTCGTTTAACAGTTTTAATTAAAAATTTCTTTCCACTCAATGTATCAACAGATAAATCATAAATATCAGAAATGTGGTTTGGCTCTTTCATATTTGTTTTTCTTTGTCTTTTAACAATTGATTTAGATGAGCATTTTGAAATTTTAGAAGCTATAATATTTTCCACTTGTGAAATTGAATCTTGATATATAGAACTTGGTGTAGGTATCGTTAGTCTCAGCGGCCTTTCTTTTTATGACATTTTTAATTTTTTTACATTCAATTATCTGCGAAATTTGGCCATGACAGTGATCGGAAATACTAAATGGCTTACCTTTATCATCGGATATGTGTGTGTTGGCAATCATAGTAGTTTGGAACTTAGCTGCACAGTCGTGACATCTCCAATAATAAACTATTTTGCCATCAATTTCACGATTATAAATTTTATTGAAAACGTATAAAAACCCGTTTACCTCTAACATATCATGTTTTTGATGAGTCGATTTCATCAACGTCAATGTAATATTAGAAATTGTATTTTGCATTTCGGCCAACAATTTATAAAATTTTATGTAACTCTACGTAGGTATTTGGTACGCAATGTACGGCACTAGACTAAGACTGCTTTTTGATATTTCTCGTATTCGACTAGATATAAAATAATCATATATTATATCAATATAGAATCATAATTCTACGATAATTATTAAACGATAATATCTTACAATAATAGTGGGCAATATCAATAAAATAGAAACTTGATAACGATTTTCGAGTAACAAAGCATTAATATATTTTATAAATATTATGTATTTTGACATTTCCCGTCTCCCGATCAAATATAAACTAATTACAGATTTGGAAAAGTATCATAATTTATACACTCTGTATCGTAAATTCTATTACAACAAAAGACAGTATTAGACATGGTTAATGGATATAATCAAACTATAGACGTGTGCGATAAATGTTGTATTTCAGTGCACAAAGCAACCAGATTGTGAAAAAAATTATACGTTTTTAAATATTGAAGTGACCACTTTATAAAAACGTGATCATTTTGTGAAGTATTTTCAAATTTCATGAAGTGTAAAATATCCGTTTCCATTTCATGAAATGGTCATCTTTTCATGTAAAGTTTGATTTCACGAAGTGGCTAAGGCCAGGGCCGCAATTACCGGGGGGGGGGGGCGAACAGGGGCTACAAAATAAACTGGGGGGCACTGATTCAAACCTCACAAA